GTGGAAAGCTTCAGGTGTGAATGTGTGATGTCCTTAAAAGATACTCAAGTACAAATGTAATCAGGCACATGAAGACTGATCTTACATAGCGATTTAAGATAATCTCTTCGTCTGATTTGAAAGTGAGTTAACTTTGTGTTTAGTGATGGCCAATTAAATTTCACAACACATGTTCTTACACCAAGCTCAATTTCACTTTTCGGAATGAACATGTTACAAACAAAGTTCAACTTGCCTTTCACATGTTCCCTTCTGGTTGCACTATACAGTGCAACTAACCGGGCTTACGGTGTATAAGATTTAACTACCAAACTTGGAACTTCTTAGACATTAGGAGAAAATGTCTACTGGAGAAACCACATGACCTTTTGGTTGAACTGCAGTGTAACTAGCCTTTGGAGCTTCCAGCGTAGGATTAGATTTGACTGTCGACTTGGAACTTTTGGATCCTAGGGTTTGGCTCTTTCCTTCAAAAACTAATCATAGAATTGAAATGAATGTGGAAATAAAACAAGTCTTTGAGAGGGAATGAAACAAAAGAGAGGATGAAGAGACGATAAAAGAGATTTGTATGGATCCAGAAGTGCTCTAGGTAGTTTATGACTCGAATCCCTCAAGATATATATATATATATATATATATATATATAATGCACGACTCTCCGTTTTACTTTTAATATTCTCTGGCACAAATCAATGAGGCATTATTATTATACTACGCGTACATGCTAATATTTAGGCATGTCCTTTACAATGGCATATATATCTTGAAAACGGAGATTGGAATTTTACTCCTGCGCGTGTCTCAGAACTTGCGCCTCACCACCGTGTGACTCTTTAATGTTCGATGTCATGCCATAGAAATAGTAAATTCTGGCCATTGCGAATAACCCAGGAGAAAATAGCATCCATAAATTCCTCCTATTATAAACCATGACAGTATGACACATTTTAGGCTTGTTTGGTAGGGCTCCTCCCCGGCTCTACCTACGACTCTTCCAGAGGAGCCTTGCCAAACATTTTATAGGAGGAGCCGTTTTTCAGTGAAAAACAGGAGCCTCTCAGGAGGAGCCTCTCAGGAATTATGGCTCCTCTGAAACGGCTCTGGCTCCTCCGGTGGAGCCTCTCAAGAGGAGCCATGCCAAACACCCCCTTAATCAACCATCCATCTAGATCATAATGCATCCATTGTTCATCAAAACCATTGATACTACACATCATTAGCAAACAAAGTAGTAATAAACTAAAGTTGAACCGAATTCCACACATCCATCTAGATTTCTAAGTACATTTCATCCATATATTCATTTTTGTATGCATCAAATTCTCAAAATTCTATCCATCATTTTCAACTAACTAAGCACTAACCCATCTATATATCAACCCACCTATAAGCAATAATCCATCTAAGCCATAATCCATCCATTCATAACGCACCATATACAGCTAAGGTAGGGTGTAGGCAAAGCTGGCCATTTGAGCGAGGAGAAGGCTGACCACATCGGGAAGAGGAGGTAGCATGGCGGCGTCGGGAGGAAGATGTCGACCCTCGATGAAGTGGAGAAGATGGAGAGGATGGGGCGGTGCCACAACATCAAAATGGGTTCACAGGGGATGGGACACATGCTCAAGTACACAAAGATGATGGCCGCAGTGGCTCATGGACGAGTTCGACAATGGCTCAGTTGTGTTCATCTAGGGCACGCTAGTTATGATTTTTGAATAGATATAGGTGCATTGAGCAGTGATAAATGTTTCACATAATCATTGCCGCCACAAAGAGAAACATTCAAGAACTGGCTTTCCCCCATTCTAGTTCTAGTTTCAAGAATCCACCAAGATGCCAAACGTGCCCATATATTATTATTTGATTGGTGTACTAAGTTGACCTAGTAGCACTAATAATCTCTCTGTCCACAAAATAATGCAATTATATGATTTGTGCTAGTCAACCTGTCTTAATTTTGACCAATTTTATAGTGAATATTATTGAAATTTATGTCTCCAACTAGGTTTATTATGAAAATATATTTCATACTTAATTTAATGATACTTATTTTATATCATAAATTTTAGTACTTTTGTATATAACTTTGGTCAACTCCAAATCATTTGATTCCTCAAAAAGTGAGAATTGTAAAAAAAAAAAATTGGCACAGAGAGTAGGAGTATATATGATTCTGTAAAAGTAGTGATTTTTTACTATGATTAAGACGTAATTAAGCAGCCAGACCAAACATCTTCCATCATCATTAATTTAAATCCATATTGTTATGCTAAAGCTAAGTGATTTACACTAATAATAATGTGGCCGCCTGGCCGGCGATGCCTATAGCTCCACAAAGTCAACTCCGAACCTCCCAAGTCCCGTGAACTGCTGGTTCTAGGCTTCTTCTAGCATCTCCCAACAGTGGGCTACGTGCCTGTAAAAATTGATCTCGATAGCATGGTGCCGACAGCTAATACAAAACGCCAGATTAGAAAAATGAATTGATAACTATGTAAAGGTCCAGTCTCCGTGCGACCGTGACAGTGAACGAATCGACTGGCTCGGCCAACCCCCCAACCGACGACTTCATTCGCTACTCCACGCCAAACGAGGTTGGAGAGTATCGAAGTGAAGAATCGTATGAAGACAACTGAAATAGTAGAGCACGAGCACGATCACGATCACGATCACTGACGATGGAAGGGAGAATGATTTTGTGAATCTGAACTCAATCAACAAAGATTGTATGGGACAATAGTATTCTCTTGAATCAGGACAAAATTCCCTCCTACCTACATATGTTATGTATGTTGTGATGAAACTCGTAACACAAAAGAAAGGATGATGAAACTGAAAAATAAATATAATTATCGATATCAAATTTATGAACGGACACAAAAGTTTTTTTAGCTGCAAGGGCATGGAGAATATTAATGAAAAGAAAATCACAATTTTGGGCGTACGGTATTAATATTTTACGGGTAAATTTTTAGGTAAATTTAAGAAATTGTTACTTAAGTACTCCATCCATCCTGAAATATAAGTAATCAAGGGTTCAAAATTTGTACCAAAATATAAGGTATTTTAAGTCCTCAAATCATCTCTCTCTAATGTATTTATTAATCGAACACTCCTTTTCAAGTACACCATACCTTTCCTCTCTAATTCATGGCAGGAAATGAATAACATGTAAAAATTCCTTTTAAACTAGGAAAGCAATAATCGAACTACTACCTCCGTCCTAATTAGCGAGGTGTAATGTGGTATTTTTGCCAGACTCTTTATTTTCTCTGAAACCGCTTTGATTTCTTATATTTTAGGACAAAGAGAGTATATTACTATAATGTCATATATGGGTATTTATTTAGATGTCAATGTAAGAGGTTCCAAGCAGATGTAGGGCCCACTTAATTGAGATGTCTTTCATAATGTCACATGCAAGTAATTTAAACATAGATTTAGGAGATAGTTGATGTTTTTTAAGGTAGCAATTGTGAGTAACTTTTTAGAAAAAATAGAATAGATAGTTCCAATGGATACTATTGCCAATACCCATACTCTACCCATGAATTGATTATCAGGTGTTTTTTTATTTGGGACTTACCAGATGCCTGAATTTTAGTTTCCTTTAGGTCGATGGTTATTTCCATTATTATATATTAAAACTACAACTTTAGTTCGCTACAGTTCTGTATGCATAATCTGTAATTTTCGGTTCCAAGAATAAAATCCCATAGGACAAAACCATAAACCCGATAAAATCTGATTTGTATTGGTACAAAGATAATTAACAATTTGCAATTATTTCTATACACTAGTAAAGAACATACATTCGGTTCATCACATTAGTCCCAGCTTGACTACGGTCCAAGTTTGATGGATGTCGGAGGATCTTTAGTCCCGGTTGGTAACACCAAGCCAGACTAAAGAGCTTTGACAAAAGTTTGATATGTTACAGAAAGACAAATGACAAATCCAAAAAGTAACAATTTACTTGTACTAGTTGGTGTACAAGAATATTACCTGAAATCATCAGACACTTAAAATATAAAAGTCCTTTTTATTTTCTTTCTCACATATCATGTGAGAACTACTTAACATGGTCTACTCCCTCTATCCCATAAAAAAGTGTCATTCTCACTTCCTGAGAAGTCAAATACTTTTAACTTTGAGCCAACGTATATATAAAAATATTGGGCATGGCTAATGCACGGCCGTGCGTGCATTAGGCTAACACACAGTCGTCTACAACCTCCAACACCCTTCTTCCCGTGCCCCCTCCCCTTCTTCCTACTTGCCGGAGGCCGCGTTCTACTCCTCATCCTCGCCCCTGCTGCTGCCCACTGCCCCATGGCGCGCTAGGGTTTCACCGGAGTACGGCCGTGAAACCTAGCATGCCCGTGGTAGTCGCCTTCCCCCCTCTTGCCGGAGCTCCACCATGGCCATGGTGCTCCCCCGCCCCGATCTAGCTCGGCTGCCTCCGTCGCCGCCAGGGCCTCTAACCCGTCCCCCATCGTCCCCACCACCTGGCTGGCCTTCCTTTCGCCAAACCGCTTCTTCTGAGCCCGCCGGAGTTCGGGAAGAAGGAGGTGGCGCGGAGGAGGAGGAAGACATACCTTGCCGGAGCTGAACCCGCCACCGCCGCAGGAACCCTAATGGTGGGGGCATGAGCGCGGTAGGGCACGGGTGCGGCCTTCGCACGAGCACGGTGAGGCGCGGGCGCGACGGCCGAGGAGGACCTCTCCGGAGGAGAAGGAGAGAGAGAGAGACCCGGCTGGGCGTTGCTCAGGTTTAAGACAATGCCAAAAAATAGTAATTATGGTAAATAATGAGCATCATTAGATCGATCATTGAATATATTTTTATAATAAACTATTTAGAGATACAAATATTGTTAACATTTTCTATAAACCTACTCAAACTTAAGAAAGTTTGACCATCACGATTTCAATATGACTCTTTTTATGGAACGTAGTAGTATGTATGAACAATAGTGAAATATACATTTTAACCTATACAGTTACTTTGCACCCTGCTGTTTCGGCAACGAACGGGGTAGCACAGAGTAGGAGAGGCGACTTGCGGCGGACACCAAGGCCAGGTGCCTCTGTCATGTCAACCTCATCGGTGCCCTCCTGAAGGGACCAATCAAAGTGGTAGTGGAGCTGCACGAGCGCCATCTCCAAGACCGGCAGCCCGTACGAAATTCCTGGGCACATCCTCCGTCCAGCACCGAACGGTATGTACTCGTAGCTACTCCCCATGAAGTCGGTCACGCAACCCTCGAACCTCTCGGGCTTGAACTCATCAGCGTCGTCCCAGTACTTGGGGTCCCTTCCGACAGCCCACGCGTTGACGATGACCCGGGACCTCGCCGGAATCGTGTAGCCCTCGATCTCGCACGCGTCGATGCTCTCCCGAGGCACCAGCAGCGGCACCGGCGGGTGCAGCCGGAGCGTCTCCTTGATCACGAGCTTCAGGTAGGGCAGGCTGGCCGCCTGGATGTCGGCCTCCGAGACGGCCGCCTTGCCCCGGAACGCCTCCCGGACCTCGCGCTGCAGCTTGCCCATCACCCTCTGGTTCCGCATCAGCTCCGACATGCCCCAGTCCAGCGACGACGCCAGCGTGCCCGTCCCGGCCGTGAACATGTCGAATATGATCGCTTTGATGCTGTTCCGGTTCAGGTGGAACGACCCGGAGGAAGCTCGCTCCTGCAGGCCGATGAGGAGGTCGACGAGGTTCTCGCCGTCGTCGTCGTCGTCCTCGGCGGCGTCTGTTCGGCCTCGGCCAGAAGCAGACCTTGCCTGCTTGTCGTCCCGGGCACGTGTCCTCTCCTCTATGACTTCCTCCAGGGTGGAGTCCACCGTCCTGTGGACGTCCTCCAGCGTGCGCCGCATGCCGGTCACCGCGGCGAGCACGGGTCGCCAGGTGGGGAAGAGGTCGGGGAGCTTGAACCCGCTGGACAGCGCGACCCCGGCTTTCATCGCGGTCAGGAAGCCGCCGGCGTTCCTGTGCTTGTTGCCGAAGGATGCGCGGGAGACGATGCTGATCGCCAGGTTGTAGAACATCTCGCTGAGGTCCACGGCCGTCGATGGCCCGGCTGCTCGTATCCTTTCCACCTGACTCGCCATCTATACATGCATGCATGCATAATACATAAGTAAAGGGCTAAAGGCTGATGTACAAAATAAAATATTGTACGTCTCAGAACTCAGAAGTAGTGAACTAGTGATGGAGAAGTGTGAGACCTCCTGTTCCCTGATGTGTCGGAAGGTGAGCACGCGCTTTGGGCTGAGGACCTCGGCGGCGCAGAGCTGCCGGAGCTTGCGCCAGTACTCGCCGGACGGGGAGAAGAGGATGTCGGCCCAGCGGTAGAGCACGATCTCGCCGCTGAGGAGCTTAGGGCGGGTGGCGAAGTTGGCGTCGTGCGTCTTGAGCACCTGGCGCGCCATCTCCCTGGACGACGCGACCACCAGCGGGGTCTCGCCCAGCTGCAGCATCATCAGCGGGCCGTGGACGCCCGCGAGGTCCCTGAGCGCGCGGTGCGGGAGCACGTTCACCAGGTGGTGCATGCTGCCGATCACCGGCAGCCTCCACGGGCCCGGCGGGTGCCTCACGACCTTGCTGGGCCTCACCAGCAGGTGCGTGAGGATGTGCACTAGGGCCACGGCAATGGCGGAGACGACGAGGAGGCGTTGGAACACTTCCATTGTTGGTGACTTGTGTACGTACGGTACGACGCACGTAGACCTGTGCAGCACGTACGTTTGAGCCAACTGTGAACGATACTGCTCACTGCTGTGTGTGTGGCCCTGGCCCGTGGGGGCACTATATATAGAGTCATGCCTCATGTGGGTATAGCTGTACATTACATTACTATTACTGACTGCATGTTCCAGACCGTCGCTTTCCAAATTGTTTTTCCAATTTTGTCCTCTCTCCCTGCGAAAAACGGTCAGTCGCAGCTATCATTTGAATGGTTCAATGGTCAACCGTGTGCTCCGATGATATTATATTGCCCGATCGTCGAATAAGCTCTTGCAAAACTCGAAGAGGTCAGCCCAGTTGCTTCTCTGGCAACTCCACTGAACTGCGGCGACGACACGTAGTAGTAGGCTCTTCTTGTGCAGCGACGACGTAAATACGCTCTTACGGCTTAACTAGAGAACGAGATAAAGATACCGTGGGCAGTAGCCCTCTTGAGACCTTGAGTGATGGACAGCTCATGAAGCTGACTAGTGACCGGTCGTCTAATATTACCCGGTAATACGTACCTCATCTACGTAAGTACTTTTCAGCTGCTCTGTTGTTATTCAAAGGATCAAGCTTCGTCTAACTAGCTCCTTTCTTCAGCGAAACAATAATAATAATAATCATGTATGCATGTAGTCAGCACAACTTGAATCGTTCCACGCAGATGTATAAGATGACTAACAACCAGAACACCAAGTAAAAAAAAAGGGCGGTGATGCCGTAGAATTCCAAAGGTTCCTATCTGCTTAGCTAGCACAGCGGTTTCTCCGGAACAGAGTATTGCAGCGTTTGTTGTACTCTCCTCCGTTCTAATTAAATTATAGTTTGTGTCGGTCTAAGTCAAACATTTCTAACTAGCACCGCACTATCACTACCGGAACACAGTGACTTTACCGTGTACCACAGGCACTCGGCAAAGCCCACAAAACACTCGGCAAACAACACACGTCATCTACAGTGCCGTCAAACGTCTCTTTGCCGAGTGTTTTTTATCACGCACTCGGCAAATACTTTGCCGAGAGCTGAAACCGACGCTCGGCGAAAAAAAGTAACGCGACGGCGCGGAGACGGTCACGGCGCGTTACTCGGAAAACCTGCCTTCTTTGCCGAATGTCAAATCCCGGGCACTCGGTAAACCTGCCTTCTTTGCCAAGTGTCAAATACTGGACACTTGGCAAAGACTGATCCAGAACGTACAAATATTGGTTTTTTTTTTGTCAAAGTGTCACGGCGCAGACACTACCGGGGCGTGAGGTGTGGTATGGTGGCGGCGCACGAGGTGAGACTTGAGAGCTGCGGTGACGGTGCACGGTTCTCTATTTTTTATTTTTCTCTGTCTTTTGAAATCTGCTTCACAGCTGGTTGAGAGTCTGGCGGGCTGACGGCGCTTGCTCGACCTTCACTACCCAATGCCGGTTCCAATTCTGCTAGTGATGACCGGCTTGGAACCGGCGGTTAAAGGTGAATATGTTGTAGTGTTGGTCAAGTTGGCCTCTATCTATATGTAACTAGAGGTTCACATCAACATGAAATATTTATGAGCAAAAACCAAAGACAACAGTGGCAGGTCCAGAAACGGGGTAAGAGTTGGGCTGAATAAATAAACGCTAAAATATTACTAGCCCTAAACTAAACTAAACAAAACTAAACAATATGACAAAATTAAAAGGCAACGAACGCAAATAACATTATCAATTCAAAATGCTAAAGAAACATCTAAAACAAGTTTGTGAGTAAAAAGATACCAGGAGAAAAGATATGGCTAAAAGATCATATTATACATCTGCATAATTTGTCTCACCCATCATTTCAGGCACGAATCCTTCAGACCAAATACAATGGCTCATAAAGGCCGTCACCGCCTCTCCTTTACTGGGCCGATCCCCTACAGCCTAACGGGCCAAGCCCATCCACTAAGCCTTCTGGTAATCCCACGCCTTGAACTGGTCGCCTTCGGCCCACGCTCCTTCCTACTCAGCCACTTCTACGTGCCGGCTTCCACTCAAAAAAAAAAAAAAAAAAAATCCAGGTGCCGCCTCACTTGGTAACAAGTTCTTGATATTGTCGCCCTCTTTTGTAGCTGCTTGTCCCCAAACTGTCGGATAACGGCATCGCATGTCATGCACATCCTCCCATGAAGCCATGGACGCAGGTGGTTGTTCCCACTGAACCAAGACTTGGTTTGCAGGAGAGAACCACCTGGCCATAGGACTCTGAGATGCAAGGAGCTACTCTGGATTCAACTGCACTGATGGATCAGTAGCTACTGAATATAGAGTTTCCAATACCTCAATTTGTGGAGGAACATGCTTCTTCAACTGAGATACATGGACGAATGATGGATTGCTGCTGAAGGAGGCAAACCAATTTGTAAGCCATTAATCCCACTTTGTCAATGATTTTGAATGGTCCAAAATACTAAAATTCCAACTTATGATTACTGCAAAAGGCCACCGAAGATTGAACATGTGGTTGTAGCTTGAGATACATCATCTCACCCACGCTGAATTCCCTTTCATAATGATTCTTATCGGATTGATGCTTCATTCGCTTAAAGCTGACTGATATGAGGTGTTATACCAAAATTCTGCCAATGGAAGCCACTTATGCTTCATTCGCTTAAAGCTGACTGATATGAGGTATTATACCAAAATTCTGCCAATGGAAGCCACTTATGCCTGCCAGTCCCTAGGACAAGAATAGCCTCCAAACATTGATTTACTCTCTCAGTTTGCCCATCAGTTTGTGGGTGATACAATGAACTCATGAGCAATCGAGTATCTGACAAGGCAAAGAGTTGCTGTCACAGTGTGCTTGTAAAAGCTCTATGCCTGTCAGATATTATAGCAATGGGTAGCCCATGTAGTTTGTAAATATAGCTAAAGTAAGTCTGAGCTACCTGAGACGGTGGTAAAAAATGAGCATACTTGAAAAATTTGTCCACCACAACCAAAATGACATCCCATTTGATATATTTGGGAAGACGTTCAATGACATCCAAGCTAACTGTGTGCCAAGCCTGATCTGGGACTGGAAGAGATTGCAATAACTCAGACAACTTCACATGTTCACTCTTAGCTTGCTGACACACTTGGTAGCTCTGAACATACTGAATGACAATTTGTGGTTAACTTTGGCCAAGAAAATAGAGCTTTGATCCTATGGTAAGTGGCATGAATCACAGAGTGTTCACCCAATCCACTAGAATGTTAAGCTTGCAAAATGTGCTGCTGGGCCAACACATTGAGTGCGTTCGGCTGGTGCATTGAACAGTAGATTTTAGATGGTTCTGGATGGTTCAATAGTGTTGCCTACCCAAACTCTGCCTTTGTGTCTAATGATACCATGTTTTTGTGTATAGCCTTTCCCATTATCAGACTGCACACTCAACTCAGTTAGCAGTTGTTTTGCCTCAGGAACTTCATCATAACCTTGTTGTAACCTTTCTAACCAAGATGGAGTACTGATAGAAATAGCCGTATAAGTGGCAACTCTTCTGGCACCCTCGAGAGAGCATCAGCAGCAGCATTGGTACTGCCCTTATATTGAATTTTGTAATGCAGATCCATCAACTTTAAAAGAACCTTATGCTGAACTCTAGAAACTACTTTCTGATTTGTTAAATGCAACAAACTTCGGTGGTCGGTTCTTGTAATGAATTCCTGATCAAGTAAATAAGAGCACCATTTATCCATGGCCATAACTATAAAGACACTCTTTCTCATAGGTAGATAAAGCATTTGTTCTAGAACTGAATGCCTTGCTAAAAAAAGAAATAGGAAGCCCATTCTACATCAAAACTGCCCCCGTGCCTTAGTCACTGGCATCAATTTCAATCAAGGCCTTTTTAAGTAGCATAAAGGCATCTTGAGCATTGAGAGTCCACCGAAAATGAACACCTTTTTTGAGCAACTGAGTCAAAGATTTGCTAATAAAACCATAGTATTTGATGAATGTTCTATAATAACCACTTAACCCAAAGAAACCTCTCAACTGTTTAGCAGATGTTGGAACTGGGCACCCCTCCACTGCTACTAGAAGGTTATGTTGCAACGTAGGACTCCAAATGAGAATATTATAAATGATGATATTAATTTAGTGTCATAAATCTTGTTGCTTTTTTTTATAAATTTGATCAGACTAAAAAAATGACTTAATACTATATTTTAGAAAATAATTTATTTTAGGACTTTACCAAACTGTATATCGGCAATATGGACATATTTCCTATTTGAAACAACGGGAGGGCATCCGTGTCCAGACATACTACATGTGAAAAGAAAATCGGACTTAGCTAGCTCCCGGACGTTCGATCCGGGGCGCTAGCATCCGGACGGTTTCCTAATAGCGTGCGAGCGAGCGACCCAGCAGCGGGCCTGCGCTGCCCCATACGTCGCCCACACCGCTAGCCGCTTCCCACGTACATCCCATGTATAACATCCCGATCTACTTTTGAAACATCCAGATGCAACAGTTACAACATACAAAAGAAGATATATGAAACACTTGAAACAAACGTCTAAAACATTTACAAAAATACCTAAAACACTTGAAAAACATTACAAACATATGCAACATCTAAATAAAACACTTGGAACATAGGTATGAAACACTTGAAACATATGCTTACAACATACATGTATATGCAACATCTAGATCTATTTTTACAACATCCAAATAAAACACTTGCAAGATACGTCTGGAACAGATGAAACATTTGTAACATACACTTGAAACATACGTGTATAGTCATTGCAACAGTGTAAGATTCCGATCTACTTTTGCAACATCGATATACAAATACAACACTTGCAACATTTATCTAAAACACTCGAAACATACTCTTACAACATGCGTTTTTAACAAAACTTGACAAGCGGGCGTGCGGAGCACTACACAACGAGATCTGAGAAGGAGGATGGCAGTGAGTAGACGGCTACGCGGCCCCGTTGAGCGGTGACACCCACGGCGAGCGGCGCCCATTGTGGAGGCGGCAACGGCGGTCGGGTAGGTATGTCCTCGCGCTAAAGAAGGTCACGACGGGCCAGTGCCGTGCCCGTGGCGAGACGCTCCCGGAGAAGGTCGTGGCAAGCAACAATGGCATTAGAGAAGAGGACGACCGCGATGGGGAACATCGCGACGGCCGTCTGAGTTGAAAAATATCGTTGTCACCCCAGAATTCTAGAAGCGCGGCGTCGGGACTCGGGGCGGTAGGACGCCCGCTACGGCGCTACCACGGCACTTCCGAAATAAAACCGATTTGGATGATAAATCGTCAGCCCTTCTGCCTCTCCCTGTCGAGTGTTAGTGTCAACTGTCAAGCGTAATCCTCGCTCCCGCGCAATCCCAGCCCGCCATGGCAGTATCCTCCCCGCCGCCTCCTCGCTTCCACCTCTCCCTCGGCCTTCAAGACCCTACCCGGAACCCCTCGCCTGGCGGCAAAAAGACACGCCCCGCCCCGACAACCGAGACGCTCCGCCGCCGCCTCCTCCGCCGGGGCGTCTCCCCGACCCCCAAGATCCTCCACACCCTCCGCAAGAAGGAGGCGCTCAAGGCCCTCCGCCGCGCAAGGAAGGACACCGCCGCAGCCGCTGCTGCATCACTCAAACCGTGCGACGAGGAGATTGGGGCGGAGGACGAGGAGGAGACCCGCTTCCGTGCGGCCGCCGCGGAGTACCGCGCGCTCGTGGGGCGGCCCTGGGAGGCTGGGACGCCGGCGCCCGCGGCGTGCCTCCCCCGCGCGGTTGGGACGCGGAGGAGGGCGGGCTCGAGGGCCTGAGGGAGATGCTCGTGGCGAGGAGGGGCGATGGGTTCCGTTGGCTACTGGACGACGACATCGAGGCGGAGGCAGCGGAGAGGAAGCAGCAGAAGCGTCCGGGCACCACTGGCTGGGATGTGGAGGCCGGGGACGAGGAGAGGAGGATTCAATTACTCGTCAGCAGGTATTTCTGCTCTTGCCATTTCAGGCTTTCTCGGATCATAGCCTGCTTATACATAATCACAATGCCAAGGACATGAGAGATTGGATAATTGGTTGAACTGTATATAGAATCGACATTATTGTGAATGCTTGCATTGTGGAACAATGATAGTTGATAGGCTTAAAATATCCTATTATTAATAGTGATAAAACTGGAGAAGGGGTTGAACACTGACCTGTGAAGGAATATGTGAAAGGAATACTCCATTAAATTCAGGCCCCTCTTAGATTTGTGAATTCAACTTATAATTGGAATAGTGTATGCCAAACTAGATCTATAGTCCACAAAAAAAAAGTTGCATTAGACATCTTTTCCTGTCGAAATAGTTTTTTCTAGTGTATTACTATAAATAATTTGTTTATGGCTTGCTTCGAAGCTTCTAAAGAGCGAAAGAACTATAGCTTATTTTTTGAAGTTGGAAAATTAGTTCCAAAGGAAGAACATTTTGCTCCATGAAGCAGTCATATAAGGGGAAGTGGTTAGTTTACTGTTTGCATTGGTAAGAAGCTTTCCTATAATAGGTGTTTACATATGTTCTTGTGAGATACAAATTTTTATGTTATTATTGATTTTATAATGTGCCTTGTCTAGTTTCAGTTGAGTAAATTGTTTTGTTGTGTGCATGATTCTATACAATCAGAAATAATAACAATGATGATACATTATTGAATACCCAAAATTTTCCCATTAGGTTAAACAGAGATTACCTAAGTTTTCGTGATTGGAGGCTTACTAGGGTGATGAAAAAGGCTGACATCATATATAGTGAAGATAATCTACTAAGAATACTAGATGGGCTTGAGGCACGAGGAAACTGGAGGCAGGCTTTAGCTGTTATTGAGTGGGTCTACAATGAAAACAGCTACAGGCATCGGAAAAGCAGGTAGGTTTTTTCTTCTCATTTTTCACTGCTTGCTTCTCTGCCACTGTGAGTAGCATATTTTGACAAAAAAAAAGATCCGGTACATTGATACTTCCCATAAGTAATAGATTTTTCCTATCTAGGTTTGTGTATACAAAATTACTCTCAATCCTTGGGAAATCATTAAGGGCAACTGAAGCACTTCGAGTTTTCACCATTGTCACACCCAATTTTAAGGATAAAATTGAATGCACTAAACTCATGTGCAATGATTTCAAGTCGTCCGATTAATCGCGATTAATCGCGATTAATCGTCCTAATCGGTCCTGGGTGCTCGATTAGGTACCTCGACCCGATTAGCTCGATTAGGGGCCTGGTCGTCCGACTAATCGTCGCCTAATCGCGATTAGTCGTCCGATTAGGGTGGGACGACTAGTTTTTAAGTTTTTTTTTTTTTTGCCGCGCGCGCGGGCCATCTGGTGAGTGAGCGCAGCCAGAAGCGAAAAACGCAGTGCGTGAGAGCTTGTGTGGGTCACGGGTCTTGTGGTCACGGATGCTGCGTGGGAGGATAAGGGTTTTGGTGGTAGCGACAAAATTTCACAGAATTGCTGCCGCCGCCCCCATGCTCGCGACTCTCGAGTCGCGCCCGCTCTGCTCCGCCGATGGCGGCGCCCTGCGCTGCTCCCGGCGGCCCTCTGCGCTCCGGTGGTCCCGCCCGCCCTCTGCTCTCATGTGTGGCCCTTGACCCTCTGCATCTGCTCCGCTGGCATGCTGCTTGATCCGCTCGCCCTCGCTCATGGTGGTGGCCATCTGGCTCTGCGCCGCCCGCCCTCTGTTCCTGCGCAGTGCCTTTTGTCGCTCGCCCCCTTTCAGTGTGTGCTCCCTTGCTTTGCCATCTCCTCCCGCCGCCCTCTGCTCCGGCAGTGGCGGACCCTCTCTTGATCTATTCCCTTGCCTTGTTGCCTGCCCCGTTCGGGTCCTTCCCTCATCCCTGCTCCCTCGCCTCTCATCTCTACAAAGTGAAGAAAAGGCAAGAAAACAACTCCCACAAGTAAGTCACTTGCTAAACACTAATGTAGTCTTGATGCTTGCTATATTGTGTACACTATATAGTACATATAGGTATATATATAGTATGTATATGTCACGATGCATAGGACGATTATATGGACGACATCAGGTCGACTAGGCTCGACTAATCGGCCTGGTCGACGACTAATCACGATTAGTCGCCTGGTCGGTCCTATAGCGACTAGGTTCGACTAGACGACCTGAAAACATTGCTCATGTGTGCCCAGGGATCAGTCACACACATAAGTTGACAAATTATAAAAAGTATCATCACGGTGTATCTTACATAACGAATAATAGCATCACATTGTCTTACATAACGGTGAGAAGATAAAAGATAACTCTCTCGTGGAACTCCATCACGAGGGGACGGTCATTTGGTTGACCACAAGCCTAATAATCCTCGAAAAGAAAACTCCTCATATCCGTTGTCATCTGTTACCCATCCGGATTTTTATCCAAATATAGAAAGTAACAAGCGTAAGCACGCCCCGTACTCAACAAGATAACATGGGGTTATGAAGCTCAAAAGGTTGACACTTTGGTTTTTCTGCAGTTAGCACTTTTAGTAAGTCAAGATTTTATCCTCAAGCTGTTATCAAGTTATGCTTAAGCTCCCATTTAAACCCACGTGATCATATATCCGATCCAATTGAGTCATGTGACATCATCATAATCATCTCGTATAAACAACATTATAAGTAGCCATCTATTCTGTGAGTTTTCCGGGCCGCTCGTGACCGTGAGCACGGCTATTATTATAACATTTGTTACCCTCTGCAGAGGTGGTGCACATTCACCGCATGAGTTGTGATCCCCATATGCGGGTTAATTACTCCCATATCTTTGTCAAGGTGAGCGGGCGGGGGTACACTATGAAGCCATTTCATAGGTTTCTCTAACAAGTTAGGGCCGCTAGGTTTCCTTGGCGGCAGATGTAGGAACCCCCTTTCCTATGGCACATATCCATCAGCGGCTATACACATAGGAGCAGGCGGCCCTATACCCAACGTGGCAAGCCCCTTTTGCGCCATAAAGGTAACCTCTAACAAGCTAGAAAAGGTCCTATTACTGAGCTAAAGCCAGAGCCATATGACCCTCACGGTTGCACTGTCAGTCCCAGCTTTTGCCGACAGATAAGTCCTTATGGAGGGCCGAGAGCATCATGATCAAAAGTCATTTGTTCCATCGCCCTATAATCCAGTTGTTTAAAAACAACTTTTACCTTTTCATTTCATAGAACCATCATTCATTATGTAGACCATGTTCATTTATATTGAGCACTAGCAAACTACCCATATGCATATAACCCATAGGAGACAAAGAACAGGATAATCAATCACTAGGATGTCCTTACGGGTATCAAAATTAGACACATGCAAATGAATAATTAATAAAGGTGATTAGGCATCAAGGTAGATCCCATGCTATACTTGTCTTGGTTCACAAACTCGTGCTGGTCCTGCTGGTCGTCGAAGAGTTCTTGGTCTCCCACGTTTTCCTCACCGTCTGAACGCGATCAACACAGCAACATACAACATTCCAAAAGCATTCATGCAAAGCAAACATTCCTATCATTAGAATAGTACACCAACAATATTGAAATCAAGATAAAATGTTTGTAAAACTAATCTACGTCTCGCTACGATCACGTCAACGCGAAGTTCACGAAAAACGGAGCTAAAATACGAAAGTTATGATTTAAACGGGTTTTCCTATAGCCATATATTTAATTAAATCTAATCATGAAATTAAAAAGTTCCAAACTTGACTGACAGTAGTTCCAACATGTAGCTTATGAAATTACGAAGCTAACGCGATTTGAATGGATCAATTGAGAGCTAAAACGACAATTTTATAAGCGAAGCAGTTCAAATGGCATTTCAGTAAATCACGAAAACGTATTTTTGACTTAAGCCGTGGAGTTTACGTTTTCAAACGAGATTGCGATTCGGGAAACTACGCCTTGGACTGCGGGTTCAAATAGGTGAATCCAGGAGGGCTCTTTAGCAAATCTACCCGCGAAGGGTATCGCCATCGAGAGCCGTTGGATCAAGATCTAGGCACACGGATTAGATCGGGAGGGAGAAGGAAGGGTGGCGGCCGAGCAGAAGCTTCTTCGCGGCGGGGCGCCATTGCCGACGACGAGGAGCTCACGGCTGGAAACTCTCAGCCCCCACAGGGCCACGGTGTGCCCAACCGAGGCCACAGGGGATGATCTTGGGAAGATGGCGAGTCCACCGGGACAAAAACACAGTAGAGGGGATGGCTCATGCGCGCGCCATGACCGGCAAATGAGGAGAGCTCGCCGGGCTTGACACGCCGCCATACAGGCCACAAATGCCAAGGAAAAGGTCGGGGAGAGATAGGAGAGCGAGGGGTTCTCACCATGGGGAAAAGCGAGGACGGGAAGGCTGGGGACGGCGGTCCGTGCGGAGGGAGGAGGGCGGATCGGCGGAGCTCTTCCGTCTGGCGGTTGTGGGCTTCCGAGGCGTGAACGCGAGAGAAAACAGCGCTGGGAGCAGCAGGGCTGCTGGGGGCTCGGCTCCTATTTATCGAGGTGAGAGCAGGGGACGCCCCCACGACCGGAGGCGTGGTGGTGGTTGCCTAAGCGCGCACGTGCTGGGCTGCCGAAGTCGCATGTGGGTGAAGCAACGCGACAAAGCGGGCAGGCGGTCGGCCGTGGGGCGTGGGGCGGGGGCTGGCCGGTTGCTTGAATTTTGTTTGGCTAATCATGGATCTTTGGGCTGGTCTTGGTGACGTGCGCATGCGTCTGTGGTCTGGCTAGCCCAGAAGGAGAGAGGGGAAGAAAGCGGGCAGCGGAAAGAAAGGCCATAAGGGCCGAAAGTGAGGGAGAGGAAAAATGATTCTTTTCTTTTTTTTCTTTTTCTACAATTTTCCAAATCCATTTTTAAATTCAAATTTCCATTCTTTTTGAAATCTTTAATAAATTCCAAACATTCACAAAATGTTATGCAGCAGCATGTATGCATCAAAAAGTTTCTAACCTTATTTTTAAATTTTAATTCCACAAAATTTATTATTTCCCTATCTTTAATGCACACACCTTTGCTTAAATAGATCATATTTACTAATTTTAAAGAATGCAAATTTTAGGATGTTACAACCATCATGCGGGTATAGTCCTTTTTCTGTACAATTAAAATAAACAGTCAACTTGTTTGTACAGAAAATAGAAAAGCTAATGGCTTAACATTTTTTTTGGTCCATAATTTACATCAGGGAGATGCTCAAATATATCCTGATATGCCTGCATACCATAGTATTGCTGTTACGCTTGGTCGAGCTGGTCTTCTGAAGGAGTTAATCAAGATTATTGAGTATATGAGACAGAAGCCCTCAAAGCGAATAATGAAGATGCGGCGCAAGGATTGGGATCCTTCATTGGAGCCTGATGTACTTGTTTATAACTCGGTGAGGATTCCCTCTCGCCCTTTTGTTTTCTTTCTTTTTACCCAATTCCCTCTTTTCAGTTATATTTTTCTTAAAATATGTTTGTCTTGTCCCTTGATGTTGTAGGTGCTTAATGCCTGTGTTCTATCACAGCAATGGAAAGGGGTATTTTGGGTGTTCCAGCAAATGAGAATTAGTGGTTTACCACCTACAGGAGCAACCTTTGGGTTGTCCATGGAAGTAAGTTTTATTTTTTTATATAATTTGGAAACATTGTACCATTGCTTATTATCTCATATGCTGGTGCATTCAGAACAGTTTTCCTCAATATTCCTAATGCTATATCCAGTAAAGTCTACTCTCTAGCAAAACAGCTAACCAAGACGAACTATTCAAGGGGGTTTACTCTTAGAGCTTAGTTAATATGGTCATGTGTTTCTCTCGCAAAAAGGAGGGTCATGTGTTGTGGTGACTTACCATACTAATTAAAACTACTGTTTGAAGGTCATGCTGAAAGCCAAGAAGTATGACTTTGTCCAGAAGTTCTATGAGAAGATGCAGAAAAATGGCATACCTCCAAGGGCAATAACTTACAAAGGTAATACTCCCTCTGTTCTACAATGTAGGTTGTTTTAGTTTTGTCCTAAATCAAACTTCTCTAACATTGACTAAGTTTATAGCAAAATATATTGACATCTACAATACCAAATAAATGCACTCTCAAGACATCTAATGCTGGATTTGATGAAACTGTTGATGATGTAGATGTTGGTGTGTTTTGCTATAAAGGTGGTCAAACTCAGAGAATTTTCACTCAGGATAAAACTAAAACAACCTATATTTTTTAACGGAACGAGTATTATGTACGTATAATGAGCTATGGTTTTTGACATTGAAACTGCTACAAAGAATAATTGTTTTCCATGCAGTGCTTGTAAGAGCTTTCTGGGAGCAGGGTAAAATTAATGAAGCTGTTGAAGCAGTCAATGACATGGAACAAAGAGGAGTTGTTGGAGCAGCAAGTGTTTACTATGAATTGGCTTGCTGTCTCTGCAATAATGGAAGATGGAGAGATGCTATGTTGCAGGTTTGTAGCTGCTATACGCAACACATACTGCACCTTCATTTGTCAGACTATGCATTATGCATCTCTATTTTTCAAGAGCTATATAATTTTCTTAGTCAATATTTATTTCATGAACCATTATTTTGTCCATATAGAAGTCTGGCAAGGGCAAATTTAATTATTAGTAATTTCAGTGTGAAAAGGAAGTCCAGTTTGGTCCTTAAACTTCTATCCAAAATCCCAAATCTATTGATATTAAAGTCATTAAGTTTTTAAATTATTTTTCTGCAATGTAAATACCATATTAAATAGTCCCTGTGTGCAACTTAATATTTTTTTCTGTACCTTCCTACATGGCTGCTTAGTTGGTTTTCTGGCAGTACAAGCTAAGATGGATTCACCTTTGGTCTCCTCTTCCCTCTTTGTTTTCTTCGTCCCCATCTTTCAAGCAGCTAGCAGGGTAGAGATGTGTGTTGGTTACTTGGCATCAATGCTAAGATCCTCCCAGTTTCCCCATCTTTCTTCTGTGCATGTTCTCTATGTATGCTGCGGGTGTGTGCATTTGTGGTGTGGATATGCATAGAACCTTTTGTATTAGATGTGTGCATCGTACTGATGCCCTCCTTGACAGGAGTATAGACACTCCTTGGTGCAAATATGGTCGCACACAGTGCCTGTTCAAACAATCATATCCTCCCACCAATGTCAGAAAGAGAGGAAACTTAGGAATGGTGCTGATAGATGGGTTCATCATTTCAAATAATTTATTGCAAGCTTTAGGATACTGGTCAGTAGCTGTACACAATAAATTTTAATGTTATGTTTAGGCACAGGAGTTTATCTGCACTCATTTGGACACTTGGAAGATGATTCTTCTTATTTCAAACTTCTATGTCCTCATTGGGACATGACTAGCCTTGTCGTGTATCAAGGTCACCAATCTTATGGAAAATAGTTAACATGGTTCTTTGCCACTTACCAAGTTCAATGTTTAGCTTTAAAGAGACAATGGAGTATAACTTTGCACCACATGTTAGATGTTACTTAGTAATGTCAAACTTATCTTGTAGCATTTAATTATTCTTATTATGGTTTGACAGTTTGCCTCCATTTTAGATTCTCTTAAAAGTTTTTTGTCACGGAGTTGTCAAATTGCCCAAATTTGTAGGGCTTTGCTGTGGTACCTCCAAATAACTATGAACCATTCATTTAGTGAGATCCTATGGTTAAGATCATCTATTACTTCCTATGAAGTAATTTGTGAAATATATATATATTTATTTATTAATTGATTTGGTAAAAATAGATAGGAAAGTTTTATGCGTTCAAAAAAAAAAAGGAAAGTTTTAGATATAAAAATCTTTCTTTGATCTAATTGATACATGTGTGATCTCTTTAACATGGTAAGCCTTTTTATTTTGCAACTTCACATTACATAATTTAATTAGTGTAATCAACATCTAATATACGTGGAACCATTTGATTAGCATGTACGTTCACCGGTACGTGACAGCTACACACGTTGCAACATATTTTAATTTAGAAGATACTCTTAATATGTATTTTAGCATCATATTGTATACATAACGAACCTGCTAATTTTTTCTATAGTAGGTATCCTAGTGTTACTGGTATATAACTTGACCTCATGATAGTTTTATATATATCTTGATATGAGAGTGAGTATTAATATACCAAACTTAAAAAACTATACATAAATAATAATTATTTGTCAAAAATGAATTAAAATATATAAAATAACCTTTTCTGTATATAAATTGAGCCGCGTGTAAGCATGATAAATCAGCTTATCAGCGTGACAACTTTCCGTGCCTTGCACTTGCACGGCACACAAACATAGAAAGGGATGGGCCCCACTTCTGTGTAAATCACGGAGGGGAAGGGTTCCCTTGATTACGGGATGTTGGTAGATTTCCTTTACTTTCCTACATTATTTGTTTATTTGTTGAATTTAAAAAATCCAATAAATCAATGGCTCAGGTTGCTTTGAAATATTACCTCTTACTAGGTAATAGATGTATCGTAGCATTGCCCAATTTTGTACCCTTTTATTTGCACAATCAACATAACAATATTTTACTATGGCAATGTCCACATCACACTTTTATCACCAGGTAAAGTCCCCTTTATAGGAAAGTAATAAGGAACCTAAACATACAAAGCGTGTTTATTAAGATACGTTTTTTTCGTTCAGGTTGAGAAGCTGAAACAGCTTCCCCTCACGAAACCCCTGGAGTACACATTTACTGGAATGATCTTAGCCTCATTTAATGGTGGATATATCTACGATTGTATCTCAATATTTGAGTCAATGAAGGACCACTGCACACCAAATATTGGGACTGTGAATGTCATGTTAAAAGTTTATGGACGTTGTGATATGTTTGGGAAGGCAAAGGACTTGTTTGAAACCACCAAGGCTTGTTTCTCAAATTCTCAGACATATATCCATGAACATTCGTCACTTAAAGCAGACACATATACATACAGCTCTATGCTTGAAGCATCTGCCTCTGCTCAACAGTGGGAGTACTTCGAATACGTGTATAGAGAGATGGCTCTGTCTCATCACTGCCTAGATCAAAGCAAATATTCATGGTTGCTCATCAAGGCATGTAGAGCTGGAAAGGTAATAGCTGTAACTTACGGTCTACAAATGAATACATGATTGATTTCAACTCTTATTGAAGTATATACCATTTTAAAACCAAATAATTGTCATTTTAATTCTCTCTTTATCGTCCCTTTTATTTGTTTTTTTTTGTGGGCTGCTAGCGCAACCTGTGTAAGTGTGTGTGGTGGGGGCGGGTCGGGGAGGGCCGGAGCGGGGCGTTAATCTATGTTTCTTCTTAATGCAATGATGTGCAGCTCTCCTTCGTATTCGAGAAACAAAAAAATTTCTTACTCATGTCTGTTTTATGTGCACTGAAAACTTTTTGGTCATGTTTACACTTTTGTGTACTTCAATTGAAAGGACCATGTTAAAGACCTACAATTTCATGGCAGATGTAGTTGTGGAATTTTTATTCCAAGAGTGGCCTAAACAGGAATTATTTTTTAAAGAAATTATTTATTCTCTTTATGATTTATGTGCAGTCAAATTTGCTGGAGCATGCGCTCGACTCGATACTTGAAAGAGGAGAGATCCCTGATGTACAGCTGATTACTGAATTGATATGCCAGTCTATTGCTCATAGAGATTATGGAAGGACGCTGCAGCTCATGAATATTATGACTGAGGCTTCAATAAAAATGAAAGAAGTCGAGTGGGTTTACCTACTGCAGAAAAATGTGTATCAATTCAACATTGATGCCCTTGAGGGCCTTATAAAGTACCTCAGTACTAGTGGTACTATCAATGCTGATCCTGCACTTGGTTTAGTAAGAGCACTGGAGTCCCAATGCGGGATAACTTTAGTGAAGGGCACATATTTGCTAACAGATGATACCGGTACTCAACAGTGTGGACTCTCTTTGCTTGAGAGTGAAGACAAATATGCAAGTAGCAGTCTGGCAGAACAAGATCAGCTCACTTGCAAGAACGTGTGCACTGATATAATTCTTGACGTCCCTGATTCTGATAGAGAGATCCCTCAGTTAGGTGTCAGTGCTGTCATGAGCAGGGACATCTCATTAAGCGGCCTACGATTGGAAGACAAACACGAGCATTCTGATCTTGGGCAGCAGGGTCCACAGGTGTCTGCAATTGACGAAGTACTTGATTCCATGAATTCTTATGGTGTCAATTCATATGGAGAGATGCCATCAGCTTCAGAGATTCTTGAGTTATGGGAGCAGGAGAGGATAAATGGCATGTTTTCTCCAAAAACAGAAAGCAGAACCACTCTTATTAGAGGATAAATGAAATGCTGGCAGATATTATTTGATATGGGGCTATGGGCAGTGCAACTCTTGCATAAATTACGGACAGCTGCTGGAAATTTGAAGGCCCCTAAGTTGGTTCATGGGATTCCAGCTGCAATCGTATTGCCTAAATCATCATCAGGAGGCTCTTATTTGTGTGATCATATCATATCTCGTTTTGGATGGTCCATACTATGCAAAAGCAGGGAATGTATAGATATGTAGTTGTGAATTCATCCAACCAATGTTGCAGAAACACTAACTTATGCTCAGAAACAGCAATTTAAAGCTGGGTTCGTCCACTTGAGCAGTTAGCTCAGGTTAATAATCAAACTTTCTGCGCCACTTTTCTTTTTACTGCCCTGGTATGGATCTTATCCTTTTCACTAAGACAGCAATAAAAATTCCTGCAGAATTTGACGATGGAACTGTCACACCCAATTTTAAGGATAAAATTGAATGCACATAACTCGTGTGTGCCCAGGAATCAATCACACACACAAGCTGATAAATTACACAAAGTATCATCACGGTGTCTCATACATCAGAGTTATAATTAAACTTAGTCTTATACATCACAGCGGAATAATAAAAAGATAATAAAACTCTCGTGGCCGTCATCACAGGGAAGGTCAACTGGTTGACCACAAGCCTAATAATCCTCTGGGAAATCCTCATACCTGTTGTCATCTGTTACCCATCCGGGATTTTTATCCAAGTAAAGAAAATAAACAAGTGTAAGTACATTCCGTACTCAGCAAGCTAACATGGGGTTATGAAGCTCAAAAGGTTAGACTACAGTTTCATCTGCAGTTAGCATTTTTAATAGGTCAAGCTTTTATTCTCAAGTATTATCAAGTTATGCTTAAGCTCCCATTTAATTCCCATAAGAACATATATCGAGTCATGTGTACCATATATCATCACTAAACAATTTTATAAGATCATCATCAAGTATCCAATTATTATTCTGTGAGTTTTCCGGCCGCTTTCGTAATCGTGAAACACGGGTACATTATAACAGATTTGTTACCCTCTGCAGAGGTGGTGCACATTCACCATGAGTCGTGATCCCCATATGCCCGGGTTAATTACTCCCATGTCACTTCCAAGGTGAGGCAGGGTACACTATGAAGCTATTTCAGTAGGTTTCCCTAACAAGTTAGGGCCGCTAGGTTTCCTTGGCGGCGGATGTAGGAACCCCCTTTCCTATGGCACATATCCATCCAGCGGCTATACACATAGGAACAGAGGCAGCCCTAGACCCAACGTGGCAAGCCCCATTTACGCCAAAAAGGTAACCTCTAACTAGCTAGGAAAGATCCTATTACTGAGCTAAAGTCAGAGCCATATGACTCTCCCGGTTGTAATTGTCACCCCCAGTTTTTTTTGCCGACAGATAAGTCCTTATGGAGGGCCGGAGCAACATGAACAAGGGTCATTTGCACTTTAGCCCTATGGAGCAGTTGTTATAAATCATGTTACTCACTTTGTTCCATAGTATCATTCATCAACAGGTATATCAAGTTCGGTTAGAGCACTAGCAATCTACCCATATGCATTTAACCCATAGGAGACAAGAGCAGGATAAACAATCACTAGGATGTCCTTACGGGTATCAAAATTAGACACATGCAAATGAGTAATTGATTAAAGTGAAATAGGACATCAAGGAAGGACCATGTTATACTTGCCTTGGTTCACAAACTCGTCTTTTGGGGTCTCTTTGGTCGTCGAAGAGTTCTTGGTCTCCCACGTTTTCCTCACCGTCTGAACGTGATCAACACAGCAACAAACAACATTCCAAAAGCATTCATGCAAAGCAAACATTCCTATCATTAGAACAGTACACCAACAGTATTGAAATCAGGATAAAATGTTTGTAAACATAATCTACGTCTAGCTACGATCACGTCAACGCGAAGTTCACGAAAAACGGAGCTAAAATGCGAAAGTTATGATTTAAACGGGTTTTCCTATAGCCATATATTTAATTAAATCTAATCATGAAATTTAAAAGTTGCAAACATGATTAACAGTGGTACTAACACGTAGATTATGAAATTACGAAGCTAACGCAATTTGAACGGGTCAATTCGGAGCTAAAACGAAGTTTTTATGAGCAAAACAAATATAGTGGCATTTCTGTAAATACTAAAAACGTATTTTGAACTAAAACAGTAGACTTTACGTTTTCAAAACGAGAAAGCGTACTCTGGAAACTACGCTAGGGACGGCGGGTTCAAATAGGTGAAACCAGGAGGGCTCTTTAGCAAATCTACCCGCGAAGGGGTATCGGCCACTGAGAACCGTTGGATCAAGATCAGGCGGCACTGATTAGATCTGGGGAGGGAGAATGAAGAATTCCGGCCGGCCACAGTGACGCCGGCGGTGAGGCACCATTGCCGGCGGTGAGGAGGTCTCGGACGCGCGTGGTTAGGGGGCTAGGGTTCACCAAACGAAAATTCGAGCGCACCGGGGAGTTGCGGGGGTGAAGGGGAACTCGCTAAGGCCAAGAGCGCGGCCGGGAACGCAGCAAAAGTAGGTGGTGGCCATGGCCGTGGCAAGGAGGTTGGATTTGGCGGCCATGGATTGGGCGCTAGAGGACATGAAACGGGAAACAAACAGCATGGGGGAGAGAGGGATCACGGTGAAGCTCACGGTGGGGAGAAGCGGAGTCGACGGCGGCTCGGAGACGACGGTTCACTTGAGGAGGGCGGTGGTGGATCCCCGTCCGTCACGGTTTCTGTGTGGCCTCCGAGCACGGCGGGTTCGAAAATGGAGCGGGGAGCAGCAGGGGTGCGTGCGGGGCCTCGACTCCCATTTGTAGCGGCCGGGCGCGGGGAGAGATGCTCCCACGTCCGAAGTGGGGGCGCGGTGTGATTCCGCTCTGCGGCTTGACAAAGCGCAAGATTCTTTGGAGGAGGAGGAAGGGCCGACACTTGGGGCCTGGCCGTCGGTGGTGAGGGGAAGGGAGGGTGGCGGTTGTTGCTACCAGCCATTTCATTTTGGGCATGAGCGGATCTTTGGTCGGGTATTGCGGGTTCTTTCAATGGGCCAATGACATGTGTGGCAGGTGCTAGCCTAGCCTAGGAAGGAGAGAGGGGGAAGAGCGAGCGGGCCACGGGAAAGAAAGGCCATAAGGGCCGAAAGTGAGGGAGAGGAAAAATGATTCTTTTCTTTTTTTTCTTTTTCTACAATTTTCCAAATCCATTTTTAAATTCAAATTTCCATTCTTTTTGAAATCTTTAATAAATTCCAAACATTCACAAAATGTTATGCAGCAGCATGTATGCATCAAAAAGTTTCTAACCTTATTTTTAATTTTTAATTCCACATAATTTATTAATTTTCTATATTTTAATGCACACATATTTGCATAAATAAATCATATTTACTAATTTTAAAAGAATGTCATTTTTAGGGTGTTACAATTCTACCCCCTTAAGATGAATCTCGTCCTCGAGATTCGGGAGACGTCGACAAAAGATAGGGATACTCCGTCTTTAGATTCTCCTTTACTTACTCGTGTAGTCCAATTGTCTTGATAGGGATCCCACTTTACCTTGCATATCTGTTGATCTTACTCCAAGTATCTTGTCCAATTAATTATAAGGTTCTTATTGATACTCCAAACGATACTCAGTTAACTCCAATCACTAGGCCACCTTTCCCTTTGAGTCCACAATACCAATTCTTTTTCTTAAAATACTCACCTTCCGACGAAAATTCCTTACTTTATTGGTCAGAAGGAAATTCTTCCACCAATCTTCAAAACATGAATGATTCCGGTTAAGTTGCTCGAACTTGGAATACAAATCTTGATCCTTGGTGTCATCCGAACCTTCTTAGCACCACTCCCATTGCTAAGGGCATCAGTCATGACTTTTGCTTCTCCAAGTGATAGCACTTTTCCAGGTCATAATCAATTTTCCTTCCAACGAGGATATCACCAATTCAAGACCAACTTAGTGAAGATGTCCTGTAGATTCTTGATCCAAACTAACTTAAAAGCTTCTCTAGTAGCTCTACCAAAATCTTAATGATCTCGGATAAACCTTCGTTGAACCTTTAACCAAACCTCATTGAGACTCTGAGTTTCTCTCACATCTTTGGATACCACCACGCTTCCGCTGCGCAAACAAGAACGTAGGACCTTCGGCTTGCAAATTCTTCACTTGGCTACCCCCCTTAAGAAAAGATGAACTAGGGGACACCAAAGTATAGCTTGCATCTCCTTTTAGATGAGCTAACTTGTATCAAGATGTTCTGACATCCCAACGATACTCTTGGTAAGGGCAAGAAACCTTCCACAACCTCCTTATATAACACTTTTCCAAATTCTGCAGTTAACTTGGTTGAAAACAGTAAACAACAGAAACTACTCCAGATTCCAAACAGCACAGATGCATCGTCTTATGATTTTCGTATCTCCATAATCAAAATAGCTATCACGCTGATTCTTGCGCTCAGAGAAAGATATTGAAGTGTACTAGTGTCCAGAATTTGCCCACGATTTTTGATCATCCAAAATCAGAGATATAAGCCGAAGAGTGCAGACTGCTCCGAAAAGATAGGATAGAAAAAACAGACGAAAACCAAGACCCGACTATTTATTTCATTAATCCTTATGCCTTAGGCCTATTACTATCTGAAATTGTGGGAACACCCAACAAGATCATTGCAATCATTACAAAGATTCAAAACGACCATAAGCATAATGACAACTCAACAAACAATAAAGATGCACAATTCAATCATTAACTCATCTTGCGATACTATCGTTCTCATTGCTCCAGGGATAACAATCCTAAGACTTATATTCAGAGAACGTAAGAAGGTGGTGAGGAGTAGTTCTAAAAGCATATCAAATCAAGGAGTGAAGATGAGAACAAAGACTTCAAAATAAGCACCAAGGTAGAGATGAATAGCAAGGGTAGAGATATAATAGAGAAAAAATATCAAGATTCAAAGAACAAGGATTTTTGTAGCAACAT